GTTCTAGTCCATGAAATAATAGACAGGTTTGCGAATTCATAAATGTGTGTAAAGGAGATTATACAAAATTTTCACATATATTAAGAGGGAAAAAGTAGTGTGTGCGCGCATGTGTTTGCTATTTAGATTATATAATCAATTTGTGTAGGGTTTGAGCTTTTTAAATTTCCCCTCAATTTTACATTATTTGCAGATTTTACTTGTAAATTCACCTACACACTGAAATTTATTTGTAACACCAAAATGAGTACAGTGAAACCTGAGAGCGAACTCAATGGGGCTGCTGAGATTTTCCAAGTATCACAAGATTTCCAACCTAAAAAGTTTTATATTTTAAAGAATGGGAAAAGAAACTAAGCCACTTTTATGATTTACATGTTTATACAAATTACACTATTCAAAAAAGATTAGGGTAAAATTCACTCAGCAATAATGTAAAAGAAGTGGAAGACTGAGCCTTCACCTGACTTCTATATCTATTTCCCACTTTTGCATTTGCCCTTCCTCATAATCAGGATGCAGTACCAACATTTTCTGCTTCTGTCTACAACTCACAGGTTCCAACTTTCAGAAAATGTTTACCAGGATAAAGTAATCATCTTAGTGGAAAATACTTTTCCTTTTTGATAAGTTAACCACCTTTCATAGGTGCCACCTTTCGCAGGCTGTCCTGTATTTACAGGGCTTTTGAAGTCATTTGCAGTCATGCACTCAGTGGCAAAAATTTTGAGCACCTTATTGGTTTTAATGATGTAAACAAGTTTTCTTTTTCCTAGTCTGTTGAATGCCATGGTTTTCACATTTCTTTAGCTTTCTGTTGTTGATTTTGCTTTTTAAAATGAACCACAGGCACAGTGCTAAAGTACTGTCTACAGTTCTTAAGTCCAAGAAGGTTGTGATGTGCCTTTACAGAGAAAGTACCTATTAGATAAGCTCTGTTGGGCCATGAATTACAGTGATGCTGGCCATGAGTTCAATGATAATGAACCAACACTATAGGAATATTTACAGGAAGTTTCTTTAAATATAAATGTATTGATCAGTGATAAAAAATAATGTGACTAGAGGCTCATAGGAACCTAACCCTGTATTTCCCAATTAGGAGCAATGGGTGAATATTTTCTAATTTAGTGATTACAGTGAACTTTCCACAACTGCAATTATTGAGAACTGGCTTACAAATTTACAATCTTTGTGGTGGAGTAGGTTAAGCATTATGCTGTTAACCGCAAAGTCAGTGGGTCAAACCATTAGAGAAAGGTGAGGCTGTCTGCTTCCAGATTTAAAGTCTCTAAACCCCAGGGAGCAGTTACTCTGTCCCATATTATAACTGAGTTGGAGTCAACCCAAAATACCAAGGAACATAGTAGGTGAGTTGGATAAATTCAATACTCACTAAGCGAATCTGACTGAAAGCCTATTATTATGCCAATAAACAAAAATTATTCCCCAAGGGAATTCACAGTCAAATTGTCTGCGTGATAAATGTCACCACCTTCAGGGAAGCAAAAAGTACTACAGGAACACATATAAGGAACGTGGTAAACTAAAAAACAAGAACAAATTCATTAGCATTGAACCAATCTTGACTCACAGTGACCATACAGGATAGAACTGCCTCCAAGAGTTTCCAAGGCTATAAATCTTTTCAGGAGCAGAAAGCCTCAGCTTTCTCTTTTAAAG